ATGACCCTGCACTAAGCTGATATTTACAATAAAGCAAACCCGCCCTCTCCATCCAATATTTCTTGGTCTTTGGTTTTGTTTTCCCCAATGAAAGCAGCATCAATTCCCAATAATCAAAGGTATTTCACTTGGTCTTCAACAATCGACAAAAGAGGTGAAACGACAATGACCAACGCACTAGAAGAGAATCCATGGCCTTTTGAGCTCAAGAATTTGAACACTCTGGGCAGCAGTTGAAAGATTAAGCTCTTTCCAAACCCCTTCGGTAACTGTCCGAATACATCTCTCCTTCCCATGATATTCTCAATAATAAGTTTTTGTTCAGATTTTGATTAGCTAACCGGAAACACAGCTAAGCTTTCTCTAAGCGCTTGCCGGAGGTCGTCCACGAACTTAACATTCCCTGCAACCTTGGCCATATTCTGAAAGACTTTACTACAAAGTGAAGATTAGATTTTGGCTCGCAAAGAAAGCTATGTAAGTATAAGCGCCAGTTGCTCGACATGTCACTGTCTACGGGCTCTTTTCCAGCAAATTGGAAGCACGCGAACATAGCACCCGTCTTTAAAAAGGGCAATCCTACCCTAGCAGAGAACTACAGGCCAATTTCTCTTTTATGCATTGTCTCCAAAGTTATGGAACGATGGGTGTTTAATCACTGCTACCCTCATTTATCATCTTTTCTTCACCAACTCCAGCATGGCTTCCAGCCAGGAAAATCCACAGAAACACAACTACTTGAGGTGTATGACGATATTTTAGACAAACTAGCCAATGGCCAAGAAGTAGACGTAATCCACCTTGACCTGTCAAAGGCATTTGATAAGGTTCCACACAGGCTACTCCTCTCGAAGCTTTAGGTCCTTGGTATATTTGGTCCAGTTTTGTTGTGGTTCTCAAGCTATCTTTCTGACAGATACCAACGAGTTGCTGTTGACGGCATACCCTCAGACTGGCTCCTGGTCACATCAGGAGTACCCCAGGACTCCATCCTGGGTCCGCTTTTATTTCTGGTCTTCATTAATGACATGTCATGCTCCATTACCCATGGAAGTAAACTTGGCCTCTTTGCGGACGATAGCAAGCTATATCACCCAATTGTTTCCAATAGATGTGCCTCCCTGCTGCAAGCTGACTTGGACAACTCCAAAACTTGGTGTGACGACAACAGTATGTCTTTCAGCACAAACAAATGTAAAGTTCTACACATGTCAAAGAGAACCTCGCACCAAAGAGAGAAACATACATACCATTTAGACAGCCAGACCTTGGACTCGCCTCCTGACACCAAGGATTTAGGCGCGACTGTCACTACTCCACTATCATGGACGACGCACATCGAAGAGATATGTGTCAAGTGTAACAAAGTTCTTGGTCTTGTAAAGCGTGTATGCAGTAGAGACATTGTTAACGTATCAACTAGGAAAATGATGTACACTGCGTTAGTTCGCTCAATCGTCGAGTACGTATCCTCTGTATGGCCTCCTTACACAGCAAAGCATCGTAGGCTAATCGAAAATATACAACGACGGGCTACTAAATTTATACTAAACCACCCAGATAGGAAAACCAGCTACACTGCGAGACTGAGAACTCTTAGCCTACTGCCGCTTGAATTCAGAAGAGAAGTCCATGATCTTGTCATTTTATACAAAATTAGGTCAGGTCTTATCAACGCTAGCTTTGACCATCTTCTGCTTCCTGCTAACCATACATACGCAACCCGACGTCATCATCCTGCAAACATCCGCCCTTTATTTACTCATACTCAGCGGTATTTTACAAACTCTTTCTTTCCTCGCACAATTAAATTATGGAACGATTTACCAAGCAACATTAAGCAAGCAACCTCTTTACATAACTTTAAAGCCTTAGTTAAGCGGTTTCATACAGAAAAGCTCACGCTTTATAGTCCGCCCTAACTAAGTGTCGCAGTTGGTCGGCAAATTATTTTATTCTAT